CGGTTTCGCTTGGTGGGCCGGGAATGCCCGACTTATCAATTTGTCCGGTAAACTACTTGGGGCTCACGTCGCCCATKCCGGATTAATTGTATTCTGGGCCGGAGCAATGAACCTATTTGAAGTGGCTCATTTCGTACCAGTACCTATTGGGAATTTTCCAGAAAAATAATTATCATTAAAGCATACTGCATGCCCAAGGGGTCACTTTCGGCCTATGTTGTATTTCACTTTCTTGAGTCATGATTCCATACATCCTTCTCCACTCAAACGGCAGAACAAAATCATAAGGTTGGATTGGATAACTCGGATTAAGTTGGGCTGAGAATTGGGCCTGGGTTGGCCTACAACTTACACTGTGTATTAGTAGGACATGTGCATGATTGCACTGAATCAATTCCTCCGCAGTAGTTCTTTACCAATGAAAAATCAGAGCTCAATGCATATTTTTTATTTTGCTTTTGCCCTTTTTTTTTTGGAGTAACACCAACTCCGATAGCCGAAGGGCCAATATGTCATTCGAGTCGACTGGCTTCTAACCGGCATTCCCCGGTAAATCAATGCCCCTACAACCTTAACTGGTCACCTCAATTGGATCTAAATAATAAGAGGCCACGTGTACAAAAAACCGCCACCAAACAAGCTCGGCCTTGATATCATCTGCAAATCGGAAAAACATCTCTCACTCTTCACTCCGCAGGAGAGAAGACGTGACGCCTCTCTGAACACGGACCTGATTTCTCCCATCACCGGTAAATGGTGGCCTCCGCGGGAATCCGCTTCGGTTGTTGCTGGGATTTGGAGTCTGGGTTCAGGGGTCCCGATGCTTCCCGTTGATGGGCGTCAATTTCTTCCTTAAAGACGGGCTAAATGTTGATCCCTCCACGTTTCAGCTGATGCAGAACTCTGCCAACCTTCCGATGGTCGGGATGCGTCTCTATGACCAATTCTTTCTAAAATATTTTTGTTTTTTTCAAGTAAATTGATTTTCTTTCATTTCCAATTCGATAAGATTGCAATCATTCAAAAATTCATTAAAATTCCAAGTTTGACTAGGTTGAGGATATCTTCCACCTAATTTATTTTCAATTGATTTAAAATTGTTAAAATCCCCAATTAAACACTAAGGGCCCATGGTATTTACAACAATGTCCTTGACCCAATTCCATATAACTCTTTGCTCACTCTTATTTGGTGGGGCATAAATAAAGGTGCACTACCACGTTTAATAATGGGCATAAATAAATGACCTAATTCAATCTAGGATGAATTTGGCGTCACATTCAATAATAATTTGATGATTAGGAAATTTTGATGCCTTTTTTGGTGCTTTAACCGTTGCCCATACTTCTACTAGGTTGATGGAGCACCCTTTACTACATTTCTACAAGCAACAAATAGAACTTTCTATTACAAATATGAGCAACCACACTTGCTGCACGGTAACCATCAGACCGTCTGGACACATCAAAATTAATAAACTTGATCTTGTTTGCTGAAAGTTGTATCGACATCAAAGAACTTTACCTCAACAACTGATGGAATTCCAGCAAGCACAATCTACCTTTTGAACCAATAAGTGGGGAGGGAAATTTTTGTAAATAAAAATTTTATTGTTTCAATTTTTCTAAAGACTCCATGAACCACACAACGCATGGCCACTAGAGAGATCCCATTCAGCTTGGCATTCAAAGCCGAGGTGATGATCCCTGTGGAGATCAGATCCCCCACTCTCCGAACAGAGCTCTACAATGATGAAACAAACAATGAAGACCTTCATGCCAAGCTTGACCTAGTGGAAGAATCCCGAGACCGAGCACACATTTGGATGGTAGCATAGTAGTAGAGGATGGCTAGGTACTATGACACCAAAGTCCAGAGAAAAGAGTTCAAGACTGGAGACCTCATTCTCTGCAAAGTCATCATGCCTGAGCCTAAAGAAGGAAAACTCGGACCCAACTGGGAATGACCATACAGGGTGAACAGAGTGCTCAATCTGAGAACCTACAGACTAGAAGACCTCGACAATAAGCCAATGCCAAGGAGCTGAAACGTAGAGAACCTTAGAATGTACTATCAGTGAACAAGATAGAAGATTTCCTGTACAAACAAATTAAATAAATTCTCTTTTGCTCAACAGTAGTTGAAAATGCACTACACACACACAACCCAACTCAAATGAACTCTAACGACTAAGGACATCAAAACACAATACCACATACACGACTTCGCCAAACCTGAATGGTCGGGCACATAAAGACCGCACATAGAACAAAGGCCAACCCCCAAGACACTACCTGGTAGTCGAGTTGAGGCCAAAGGACTAACACTCTAACTTAGATCCGACTAACACAAGACGACTGAGGCCCTAAGCCAAACTAGCCCAATAAGGCACGACAGGAATGACGCCCATCCGACCATTAAAGTAGTTTGACTCGAAGTTGGAGCAAAGATGGTCGAGCATCACGTCCAGCCCCCTCAAGGAGCATGGGATCCTCCAAGACCGAGTGCCACCAAGCTCCCCCAATAGCAACAAGGAGTTAGAAGCACTCTGGCCAAATAAGACCCGAAGTGGGTCAGTTCGAGCAAAGAGCCCCTAAGGCCCAAACGGTAGCACAGTCTGAGGAGCACTCCAACTGGCCAAACTTTGAAGTGTGAACAAAAATAAAAAAGAAGAGTGCACAAAAAGAAATTTGTTTGGCAAAATAGATCTTCATTAAAAAAAACATAATACAACGGTTATGAGCCCGGCATACCGAGCTGTGTACAACAAAAGAAAGAAGGAAAGAACATCATTCCAGACCGGTAGTGTTGTCTACAAGGTTCACCTCCTCAAGGGTAGCCATGTCGTCATTCAGGGTAGGTTGTTCAGCTAGCGGCACCTCCACATCAAAGGGACTGTACTTCTCCATGGCTATGTTGATCTCAGGGTGCTCGCACCTGACCCTCTTCTGGCAACAAGCAATTCGAGTCTGGCAAGAGTCTATAACAAAACCGTGGAGGGAAATCTGGAACTCCTTGGACTCCTTGTACATGGTGATCGCCTCCTTCTCGGTGCATAGCAGCTTCGCCTCCGCCTCCTTAGTTGCCTTCTATGCCTTGTTGCAACCCTCCTTGGATCATGCATGTGGTTCTTCGATTGTTATAGCTCCTCATCCTTGGCCACCATCGACTGTTTCAGTTTGGCCATTTCCGCTTGCCGATGAGAGAACTCACCCTCTCGAGACTTAGCCATCTGACGAAGGGTGCACATCCTATCGACCAACATTGTCACCACACAATACAGCCTGCAAAACAAAAGGTCAATGAGCATGGCCAAGAAAACTGAAGAACAGAAAGGGTAGTGCAGATGCCTTACCACGACGGACTCTCAGGTGACTGTGCTCTCCAACACCCCGCTCGTGCAACCACTAGTCTCTTTATGGATCTCAGGCAACAAAATGCCCCTAGCAAGCTGCTTGGGCATGCCTTCAACCTCCAAGGTGTCCTCCAACCGAACACTCCAGCTTGGCTTGTACACTTTGTCCCCTTCTTCCACTGGGCCTGAAGAGGGCAAGACCTCATGACCTCCTTGGGGTGTAGACCGTGGCTGAACGTATTGTGGTGGAGACTCAGTAG